CCTCCGGCTGAGGCCTCTCTGTCGTTCACGCTGGACTCGGGCGCGTCTCAGTGCTTCTTCCGCGACCACACGACCCTTACACCACTCCTCACCCCTGTGTCGGTGGCTCTGGCTGATCCCACCTCTGGACCAGCCGTTGCGCGCAGCTCCACCACCCTCCCCTGCCCTGTGGTCCCCTCTGGTGTCCTGCGCGGCCTCCACATCCCCTCGTTCACTCGGAACTTGGTGGGTGTTGGATACCTCCAGGACAGGGGGATCACGGTTACCTTCGTGGGGGGTGGGCGGACTGCAGTCTGTACAGACGCTACCACAGGTGCTGTTCTGGCCACGTTCACCCGGGAGCCCCGCTCCGGTCTCTACGTCCTCCACACCGAGCGCTCCCCGGTCGCGTCCTCCCCTCAGGTCGTTGCGTCCCCTTCGGCCCAGGTCCCCAGTCCAGTTGCTGTGTCTAGTCAGGCAGTAGTGTCCGGTCCGGTCGCTGTGTCCAGTCCCGTCGCTGCGTCGTGCTCCTGTCGCTCTCTCACCCACCGCACCGTCCTGTGGCACCACCGCCTTGGCCACCCGTCGCTCCCTCGCCTACGTAGCATGCTCAGTCAGGGACTTGTCTCAGGTCTCCCACGCACCTTCCCGTCGCTCCCTCTCTCGCCTGCCCCTCCTTGCTCTCCGTGCGTCGCCGGTCGCTTACGCGCCACTCCCCACTCCTCCTCCCTTCGTCCGGCCACCGCTCCCTTCGAGACTCTCCACTTGGACGTCTGGGGCCCTGCCCCGACGCAGGGGTCTGGAAGGGAGCGTTACTTTCTGGTGGTCGTCGACGACTTCTCCAGGTACACCACAGTGTTCCCCCTTGCGAAGAAGTCCGAGGTGACTGCTACGCTGATCAGGTGGCTTCTAGCCACTGAGGGCACTCGTGGTCGTCAAGTCAGTTGTCTCCACTCCGACCGTGGGGGCGAGTTTCGCTCCGGCATTCTCGGCGGATTCTGCGGCGAACAGGGCATCACCCAGTCCTGGACGCTGCCAGAGTCCCCACAGCAGAATGGGGTTGCTGAGCGCCGCATAGGCTTGGTCATGGACATCGCCCGCACGTCCATGATCCATGCCCGTGCGCCCCATTTTCTGTGGCCTCACGCGGTTCGCTACGCCGCGTGTCTCGCGGCCCGAGGCTTCACCGACCAGTCTTTGGACTGGTTCCCCTGGTGTCGGGTCGGCCTTTCGAGTCTGGGGCTGCCTTGCGCTTGTTCGCGACACCTCTGCGGACAAGCTCTCGGCACGCGCCGTCCCCTGTGTCTTCCTTGGTTTCCCAGTGGACTCTGCCGACTGGTCCTTTTACCACCCACCCCTCCACCAGTTCCTAGACTCTCGTGACGTCCGGTTTGACGAGTCTGTGTCCTACTACACCCGGTACCCCTGTCGAGGTCTCCCAGTACCCCCTCCCCCTCTTTTCCTCGCACCCTCTCCTCCTCCTGCTCTCGCCCCTCCGGTACCCCCGCCCCCCCCTGGTCCTGCCCCGTCTGGTGTGTCCCACGTTACCCCTCTACCCTCGGTCGCGCGTCAGGTAGTGGCTCCCTCCCCACAGTCCTCCTCACAGTCCCCTCAGCAGCCTTCGGCACTTCTGCGACAGGTTATTGTGGACTCGGTTGGTGTTGGAGCTGGAGGTGCAGCCGCTGGCGGTGCTCGGTCTGGGGGTACTCGGTCGCGGGGTGCTGGAGCGGGAGGTGCTGGCGCAGGTGGCGCTAGCTCTGGGGGTGCTGGAGCGGGAGGTGCTGGCGCAGGTGGCGCTAGCTCTGGGGGTGCTGGAGCTGGAGGTGCTGGTGCAGGTGGCGCTAGCTCTGGGGGTGCTGGAGCTGGAGGTGCTGGCACTGGTGGTGCTAGTTCTGGGGGTGCTGGAGTTGGAGGTCTTGGCACTGGAGGTGCTGGTTCTGGGGGTGCTGAGTCTGAGGAGCCTGACCCTGGTTCTGCGGAGTCCACTCCGCCTCCCCACCGCCACGACACACGTCTCCAGGCTGCCCGCCGGCGTGAGCGTGAGGAGCAGGAGTGGTTGGAGAGGGAGCGGCAGCGGCAGCAGCAGCAGCAGCAGCAGCAGCAGCCGCCGCAGCAGCCGCAGCAGCAGCAGCCGCAGCCGCCGACGCCGCAGCAGCAGCCGCCGCCGCCACCGCAACTTCCTCTAGAGCGGCAGTTGTTCCCACCTGTGAGTGGCCTGCGGGCCCTTGGCCTTTCCTCCTCTCCTCCTGTCCGCCCCCAGTCTCCTCCTGTGTTTGTTCCTCCGTTGCCTCCTCCTGACGACCGTCCGGCGATCTGGTCTTCTACTCCTCCCCAGTCTCCTCCTCCTTCGGTCCGTCGCGACTTGGTCACTCGTTGTCCTCCGCGTGCTCGTCACTCGTCCCCTGTTACTGACCTCCACACTGCCCTCCTTTGTACGTCTCGTCGTCGTTCTCCTTCTCCTGTGTCCGTTCTCCCGTCTCCTTCTCCGTCCTCTCTCCCAACCCTCCCCACTCCTATCACTGACTACTACCGCACTGTTCGTCCTGTTGCCGCACGTGTCCTTGCCACTCTTGTCACCGACTCTCGTTTCCCTCCGTCGTCGGTCTCTGCTCTCACTGCCGCTGTCGCTGAGTTTGCTGCCGCCAGCCGCCTTGACTACGCCACCCGTGTGGTGCCAGCTCCTCCCTACCATCCTCTGTCCGTCGGGGGTGAGTTTGCCCTTGGCTGTGACGTCCTAGAGGACAGAGAGTCTGAGCTGGAGTACTGGGCAGACGCTTCTCCCTCTGTGTGTGCCATGCTGCTCTCCCCTGAGGGAGACCCCGACGCCCTTGACATACCGACTCCTCGCACTTACCGCGAGGCAGTGTCAGGGGCGTGGGCCTCTCAGTGGAAAGCGGCTATGGACTCAGAGTTGGCGTCTTGGAGATCCACAGGCACCTACGTCGACGCAGTTCCCCCTCCCAGGGCGAACGTAGTCGATGGCATGTGGCTCTTCAAGGTGAAGCGGCCGCCTGGAGCACCGCCGGTGTTCAAGGCGCGCTACGTGGCTAGGGGCTTCAGTCAGCGTGAGGGAGTTGACTTCTTCCAGACCTTCGCCCCGACCCCGAAGATGACTACTCTTCGGGTGTTACTCCACATAGCAGCGCAGCGAGACTACGAGCTGCACTCCCTCGACTTCTCCACTGCGTTCCTCCAGGGCCGACTGCACGAGGAGATCTGGCTGCGCCGTCCTCCTGGCTTCACTGACACCTTCCCACCTGGGACCCAGTGGAGCCTGAGGCGACCAGTCTACGGTCTCTGCCAGTCGCCCCGTGAGTGGCACGACACTCTTCGCTCCACGCTTCGTGACCTTGGGTTCAGCCCGTCCTCCGCCGACCCGTCGCTGTTTGTTCGAGGGGGTTCTTCTCCCTTCTTTATCCTTGTCTACGTCGACGACTTGGTGTTTGCTACAGCAGACAGGGCAGCCCTGGCTCAGGTGAAGTCCGAACTGCAGAAGAGACACAAGTGCACTGACCTGGGTGAGCTGCAGCGTTACCTTGGCTTGCAGATTACCCGGGACAGAGCCGCTCGCACCATCACACTGTCGCAGTCACACATGGTGCAGCAGGTCCTTCGGCGGTTCGACTTCCAGTTCTCCACCACACAGCCCACTCCTCTTGCTGTTGACCACAGACTCACTGGCCCCTTTCTCGACGAGCCTTTTGAGTCCAGTGGTCCCTACGCAGAGCTGGTGGGCTGCCTCATGTACCTGATGACTTGTACTCGGCCGGACCTCGCCTTTCCCCTCAGCGTCCTTTCTCGCTTTGTTGCGACTGGGAGACACCGTCCTGTCCACTGGACAGCAGCTGTGAGGGTGGCGAAGTACCTGGCGACTACATCAGGCATGGGGCTTGTGCTTGGAGGGACTCAGCCAGTGGTGTTGACTGGTCACTGCGACTCTTCCTACGCTGACGACGTGGAGACTCAGCGCTCGACTCAGGGTTACTGCTTCAGCCTGGGAGCTGGTGCTGTGTCGTGGAGGTCTACACGGTCGTCGTCTGTGGCTACTTCCAGCGCAGAGGCAGAGATCTACGCTGGTGCCATGGCGGCACAGGAGCTTCGCTGGTTGACCTTCTTGCTTGCCGACCTTGGTGAGCGGCCTCGCTCTGCACCGACCTTGTACGCTGACAACAAGGCCATGATCCTCCTGTGTCGAGAGCCTCGACTGGAGAGCAGAGTGAAGCACATTGACGTGAGGTACTTCCTCCTGCGAGAGCTGCAGCGACGCGGCCAGGCTCGCCTGGACTTTGTGGCCTCAGAGGCCAACACTGCAGACGTTTTCACCAAGGCCTTAGCGCTTGGTGACCACCACAGGTTCTGTGTGCAGTTGGGGCTTGTTGAGGTTGGCCCTCGGTTGCTGTAGTCCTGTTGCTTGCTCTGCTTGTTTGTGTTTCCTATTTATATTCTAGTGAACTCTTGAACTTGCCTTGTGGCCACTTGCATGTGCTCGGAATTTGTGTGGTATCCTTGAGATCCACCCTGAGCTTGCCTTGTTTCTTGCGTTGACTGGTCTTGTGACCGTGTGCTCACCTTGCTTGCTTTGATGCCCCTCACTTAGCCTATGGGGGTGTGTCAAATGTTATATATTCTTTATATTGTTAGTCTAGGCTACAGTGAGTTGCCCTCTAAAGGGTACAACACTTTAGGTCGACACTTGTATCCCTTGCCCCTCACTACTCGAATAACACTTTCGATACTTCTCTCCTAGCCTAGTTTAAGAATTATATAAGCCACCGGCGCTTATAAAAATCCTCGATTATAAGCCCACCCCCCTACAAAAACATGTTTTATTATACCCCCCCCATGGGGGCTTATCCGGGGGGTGACGGTATAATATGGCGGAAGTCCCACCTTCTGAATAAAAGAACAATTCAAAATTGTAGTGTGAGGCTGTTGAAAAATCCATGCAAAACACTGTAGCTTAAAAGAGTTGCATAGGATAAGCCATTGCGATACATTAGTCGTCAAAATCACGTGCACATTCATGCAAGGGTGCGGAACCACGCAAGCAACTTAGAAAGTCCAGTATCCAGTGCCTGATTACGCTTCTCATAGCCTGTGGGTGGGCAGTCGGGAAAACAAAGAGAGGATATGAAGGTGAAAGGGAACGATGAGTGCCTTGCAAGGCGTGCTCCCAGCAGCATCGAGGGGCAGGAGTTGACCGTGCCTTGGTTCCGATCCATCCCCTGGCAGAAGTGAGTGGAGAGACTTGTATAGCTGTGTCTCGACAAACAGTCCAATTCTCATATCTCCCATGGCTCATACTCACCTGATCCCCATAATCTAAATCTACCTCGACAGCCACCCAGGTCAGGCATGCACCCAGGTGTGGCACTCACCCAGGTTAGGCACTCACCCAGGTTCGGCACTTCCCCATACGTGGCACCCACCCAGGCGTGGCACTCACCGAGGCTCCGCACTCACCAAGGTCAGCGGCGACGCGGTGGGCGCACATGATGCCGGAGAAGGCTACCGCGATGACTCCCTGCCCGGGGAAGCAGCTGTCGCCCACACAGTACAGCCCCGGCACTTGCTGTAGAGGGGAGGGGTGGTAGGAGGGAACACAAGCAAGAGAGACTGATGTATGTGCAACGATTTAACCCACTTTCCTCTCCACTCCTTCATCCCACTTGAGCCTTTCGCACAAAATTTCTTCCACCCGCAACGCTATCATGAATTGTAATAACAATAGGTCATCAAAGGACGAGGCACGCGCGCCAAAGGGTGGACGTGGGAAAGCACCGTGGTGTTGAAGGGCATGCCGAGCAGCCCCAGTGGGCGGCGCGCGGGGATGGGGCCGTACGTGCCGTCCACGCGGTTCAAGAAGCGCCGGTGCGTGCGCGGCGTGCCCACCTGCCGTATGGGTGTGGGGTTGAGGAGGAAGTAGGGACCAGGAAGGGATGGGGTTAGGGAAGGGTGGTTGTGGTGGAAAAATAAGAGAGTGAGAGTGGAGGGAGAGAGGGATGCTGACGGATGGATGAAAGAGATTGAATTCAGTCAGCTCACTTCAGCCCCAGCCACTCATGGAAGTTGAACTCATTCCAATCGATTCAATACACTTGAACCAAGTCAACTGACATCCATGAGCTCGATGGCATTGGCGAGGCCGGGAAAGAGCGTCTTCTCGAGGCGAGCAATGATCTGCGATGCCACGTGGTGCTTCTTGGCGCTGTACTCCTCCGTGCTCATGCCCTGCCACACACCGTGCCGTGCCGTGCACGTTGCATGCACGGGGATGTTTGAATGATGGACTCGCATTGTACTGTTGTGTCGACAGCAGTGGTGAAGGCAGCCCACAGCAGTGAAGGATACGCGAAGTTAGAAGCGGCAATGCGTGCCCCACCTGCCAGTCGTGCATCCATGCGGTGGTGAAGACGTGCAGAATGTGCCGCCCAGCTGGTGCCAGCGACGGGTCCAGCACCTGACAGGCAAGCCAGGGGGGTGAGGCAGGGGGGTGAGGCAGGGGGGTGAGGCAGGGGGGTGAGGCAGGGGGGCGCGGCAGGGGGGCGCGGCAGAAGGAGGTTGGCAGAACGAGGCAAGCAGAGGTTGACGAGGTTGGTATTAAAGTACCGGTTACAGAGGAGTGCAGAGTGGAATAGGGCATCTCACATACCAGGTAAAAGTTTGATCAACTCGAACCTTATCAAACAAAAGCACCACATGATGAGAAATCCCCATTGCAGCTGTGTGTACGGTACGGCTTACAGTGGGGATGCTGAGGAAGATGCTCTCATACGGCTCCTCCATGCGCCCCCACTCGCTCTGCACTCACACCACACGCACCACGCATGGGCACGAAACACAGGAACATAGAGAGACAGATTGTGAGGCATGAAACAGGTGGTGCACACATCAATTCCGGGTTTCAGGTTTAGGGTTGCTCAAATGCTCACACACGGAGGCACTGACCTCGAGCACGAGGTGGTGGCACTCAGTGCCGGGCGGCAGCGCGTCAGCCTTGACACCGAGGTGCATGGAGAGGAACGACGGTGCCTGGCGGTACCGCTGCTGGAACTGCCTCTCCTCCTCCGGCATGCGCTCCTCCGGTACCAGCTTGCCTGCCCGCCCCGAGGGGGGAGGGGGGGGGGGGGTGTGGGTGGGGAGATGAGGGGGGAGTGGTGTACGGGAGAGGGGTGGATGAGAGAAATTGCAACGATGGGTGGCGGGTGACTGCAGCGGGTGACTGCAGCGGGTGACTGCAGCGGGTGACTGCAGCGGGTGACTGCAGCGGGTGACTGCAGCGGGTGACTGCAGCGGGTGACTGCAGCGGGTGACTGCAGCGGGTGACTGCAGCGGGTGACTGCAGCGGGTGACTGCAGCGGGTGACTGCAGCGGGTGACTGCAGCGGGTGACTGCAGCGGGTGACTGCAGCGGGTGACTGCAGCGGGTGACTGCAGCGTGTGACTGCAGCGGGTGACTGCAGCGGGTGACTGCAGCGGGTGACTGCAGCGGGTGACTGCAGCGGGTGACTGCAGCGGGTGACTGCAGCGGGTGACTGCAGCGGGTGACTGCAGCGGGTGACTGCAGCGTGTGACTGCAGCGGGTGACTGCAGCGTGTGACTGCAGCGGGTGACTGCAGCGGGTGACTGCAGCGGGTGACTGCAGCGGTTGACTGCAGCGGGTGACTGCAGCGGGTGACTGCAGCGGGTGACTGCATCGGGTGACTGCAGCGGGTGACTGCAGCGGGTGACTGCAGCGGGTGACTGCAGCGGGTGACTGCAGCGGGTGACTGCAGCGGGTGACTGCAGCGGGTGACTGCAGCGGGTGACTGCAGCGTGTGACTGCAGCGGGTGACTGCAGCGTGTGACTGCAGCGGGTGACTGCAGCGTGTGACTGTAGCGGGTGACTGCAGCGTGTGACTGTAGCGGGTGACTGCAGCGGGTGACTGCAGCGGGTGACTGCAGCGTGTGACTGCAGCGTGTGACTGCAGCGGGTGACTGCAGCGGGTGACTGCAGCGGGTGACTGCAGCGTGTGACTGCAGCGGGTGACTGCAGCGTGTGACTGCAGCGGGTGACTGCAGCGGGTGACTGCAGCGGGTGACTGCAGCGTGTGACTGCAGCGTGTGACTGCAGCGGGTGACTGCAGCGGGTGACTGCAGCGGGTGACTGCAGCGGGTGACTGCAGCGTGTGACTGCAGCGGGTGACTGCAGCGGGTGACTGCAGCGGGTGACTGCAGCGTGTGACTGCAGCGGGTGACTGCAGCGTGTGACTGCAGCGGGTGACTGCAGCGGGTGACTGCAGCGTGTGACTGTAGCGGGTGACTGCAGCGGGTGACTGCAGCGGGTGACTGCAGCGGGTGACTGCAGCGTGTGACTGCAGCGTGTGACTGCAGCGGGTGACTGCAGCGGGTGACTGCAGCGGGTGACTGCAGCGGGTGACTGCAGCGTGTGACTGCAGCGGGTGACTGCAGCGGGTGACTGCAGCGGGTGACTCCAGCGGGTGACTGCAGCGGGTGACTGGAGCGTGTGACTGCAGCGGGTGACTGCAGCGGGTGACTGCAGCGGGTGACTGCAGCGGGTGACTGCAGCGTGTGACTGCAGCGGGTGACTGCAGCGGGTGACTGCAGCGGGTGACTGCAGCGGGTGACTGCAGCGGGTGACTGCAGCGTGTGATTGCAGCGGGTGACTGCAGCGGGTGACTGCAGCGGGTGACTGAAGCGTGTGACTGTAGCGGGTGACTGCAGCGGGTGACTGCAGCGGGTGACTGCAGCGGGTGACTGCAGCGGGTGACTGCAGCGGGTGACTGCAGCGGGTGACTTCAGCGTGTGACTGCAGCGGGTGACTGCAGCGGGTGACTGCAGCGGGTGACTGCAGCGGGTGACTGCAGCGGGTGACTGCAGCGGGTGACTGCAGCGGGTGACTGCAGCGGGTGACTGCAGCGGGTGACTTCAGCGTGTGACTGCAGCGGGTGACTGCAGCGGGTGACTGCAGCGGGTGACTGCAGCGGGTGACTGCAGCGGGTGACTGCAGCGGGTGACTGCAGTGGGTGACTGCAGCGGGTGACTGCAGCGGGTGACTGCAGCGGGTGACTGCAGCGGGTGACTGCAGCGGGTGACTGCAGCGGGTGACTGCAGCGGGTGACTGCAGCGGGTGACTGCAGCGGGTGACTGCAGCGGGTGACTGCAGCGGGTGACTGCAGCGTGACTGCAGCGGGTGACTGCAGCGTGTGACTGCAGCGGGTGACTGCAGCGGGTGACTGCAGCGGTGACTGCAGCGGGTGACTGCAGCGGGTGACTGCAGCGGGTGACTGCAGCGGGTGACTGCAGCGTGTGACTGCAGCGGGTGACTGCAGCGGGTGACTGCAGCGGTGACTGCAAGCGGGTGACTGCAGCGGGTGACTGCAGCGGGTGACTGCAGCGGGTGACTGCAGGCGGGTGACTGCAGCGGGTGACTGCAGCGGGTGACTGCAGCGGGTGACTGCAGCGGGTGACTGCAGCGGGTGACTGCAGCGGGTGACTGCAGCGTGTGACTGCAGCGGGTGACTGCAGCGGGTGACTGCAGGCGGGTGACTGCAGCGGGTGACTGCAGCGGGTGACTGCAGCGGGTGACTGCAGCGGGTGACTGCAGCGGGTGACTGCAGCGGGTGACTGCAGCGGGTGACTGCAGCGGGTGACTGCAGCGGGGTGACTGCAGCGGGGTGACTGCAGCGGGTGACTGCAGCGGGTGGACTGCAGCGGGTGACTGCAGCGGGTGACTGCAGCGGGTGACTGCAGCGGGTGACTGCAGCGGGTGACTGCAGCGGGTGACTGCAGCGGGTGACTGCAGCGGGTGACTGCAGCGGGTGACTGCAGCGGGTGACTGCAGCGGGTGACTGCAGCGGGTGACTGCAGCGGGATGACTGCAGCGGGTGACTGCAGCGGGTGACTGCAGCGGGTGACTGCAGCGTGTGACTGCAGCGGGTGACTGCAGCGGGTGACTGCAGCGGGTGACTGCAGCGGGTGACTGCAGCGGGTGACTGCAGCGTGTGACTGCAGCGGGTGACTGCAGCGGGTGACTGCAGCGGGTGACTGCAGCGGGTGACTGCAGCGGGTGACTGCAGCGGGTGACTGCAGCGGGTGACTGCAGCGGGTGACTGGCAGCGGGTGACTGCAGCGGGTGACTGCAGCGGGTGACTGCAGCGGGTGACTGCAGCGGGTGACTGCAGCGGGTGACTGCAGCGGGTGACTGCAGCGGGTGACTGCAGCGGGTGACTGCAGCGGTGACTGCAGCGGGTGACTGCAGCGTGTGACTGCAGCGGGTGCAGCGGGTGACTGCAGCGGGTGACTGCAGCGGGTGACTGCAGCGGGTGACTGCAGCGGGTGACTGCAGCGGGTGACTGCAGCGGGTGACTGCAGCGGGTGACTGCAGCGGGTGACTGCAGCGGGTGACTGCAGCGGGTGACTGCAGCGGGTGACTGCAGCGGGTGACTGCAGCGTGTGACTGCAGCGGGTGACTGCAGCGGGTGACTGCAGCGGGTGACTGCAGCGGGTGACTGCAGCGGGTGACTGCAGCGGGTGACTGCAGCGGGTGACTGCAGCGGGTGACTGCAGCGGGTGACTGCAGCGGGTGACTGCAGCGGGTGACTGCAGCGGGTGACTGCAGCGGGTGACTGCAGCGGGTGACTGCAGCGGGTGACTGCAGCGGGTGACTGCAGCGGGTGACTGCAGCGGGTGACTGCAGCGTGTGACTGCAGCGGGTGACTGCAGCGGATGACTGCAGCGGGTGACTGCAGCGGGTGACTGCATCGGGTGACTGCAGCGGGTGACTGCAGCGGGTGACTGCAGCGGGTGACTGCAGCGGGTGACTGCAGCGGGTGACTGCAGCGGGTGACTGCAGCGGGTGACTGCAGCGTGTGACTGCAGCGGGTGACAGGGTTTGAGGGTTTGACGCCAGGCCCCTGAAAGGCACGAGACAGGGGCTTCAAGGCAGCTGGCAGCAGCGGTGCCGCCATGCAAGGTGGAAGGGGAGAGTGAAGAGGAAAGTGAAAGGATGGTGAAAGGGGGTGAGAACAGAACAGTGCCGAAGGAGGGTGAACGAGGGGAGGAGGAAAGGAGGGCGAAAAGAGGGTGCGAGAGAGGAGGGCAAGAGGAGGGTGAGAGGAGGGCGAGAGGAGGGTGAGAGGAGGGCAGGGGGAGGGTGAGAGAGAAGGGCAAGACTCGAGAGGAGGGAAAAAGCAGTTTGTGTACCGAAGGTGTCCCATCGGGTGGCGTTGGAGACAACGGTCTTGGCCCTCACTGTGCGCCCGTCACTCAGCTTCACACCCGCCTGCCGGTCCGTGCCAGGAGGACAAGGGGAGGAGCCAGACGGGAAATGTCAAGATAAATGATGGGACGGATGATGATGATGTACATGATGGGAGGTGACTGTTGGCGATTCATTGGGGCGAGGTAAGGACATGGTAGGAGCAGCAGGGCGGGTTGCTGTAGGTGCCCGACAGAATCTGAGAGCGGTGTTTCCCTTCCAGCGCTGGCTGCAGCAAGCAGCGTGACACAAGTGGTTGCTCCCGCTGCAGTGCAGGCAGCTAGTATAGTCGCCTTCCTTCCTCTCTTCCACACCACACACGACTCCAAGCCAGCACTCACGGCACGGCCGTGGTGGTCGAAGAGCAGCTGGGTGACGTTGGCCTTGTACCACACCTCCCCCCCGCGCTCCTGCAGCCCCGCCACCAGCTCCTGTGCGATGCGCCCCACGCCGCCCCGCGGATAGTTGATGCCGCCGTAGTGCCGGTCGCACAGCACCTGCCACGCACAGGCACACGGCATGGGCGCATGGCAGGTGGTCAGGGGGCAGGGGCTCACATGGAAGCCAGTTAAGGACGCGTTACCATTTCCTCCGATCCTACACACAATCGAGTTTCTGAATTTGCAATACTGGACAAACGCGCATCTCGTAACACACGTGGCACTGCAGGATTTCCCCCAAAGCGGCCTGTACAAGCAGGGTAGTCAAGGCACTCGGTACAAAGCTTCTCCACACACCTCGTAACCAGGCTAGCGAGATTGCCTTCCCACAATTCCAATTCGCGCCTGTTTCTCTCACGAAATCGTGCCTTTCGCCTACCCACAAGTGATCGTGCCTGGTAGGCTCACATCGCGCATGGGCTGGGGGGATCACTTGTACTGTGAATCGATTGCACAATTCAGGCACACCGTCCACCTCTGCTTCAATGAAGTCGAGATGATACACTGGCATACTGTAGCACTACTGTACGCTGACGTCATGCTGATTACCAGCACGGTCGATCTGCGATCGATCGCGGGGCACGATCGATTGCGTCCTAAGGAAGGGGTGAGGGGCGATTGGGGCACGGGTGAGGGTCGAGTGGGGAAGGGGGATGAGGGTAAGAATATCCTTGTGAGGGTTACTACATGCCCCAATCACTATGGCATGCATTGCTGCGGGCAGCATGGCATGGCGAGCAGCTCACCATGGCAGCGTTGATCATGGGCGTGTTGGCGGCATTCACTGTGCTCACTATGAAGCACTGCCGCCCGCCACAGCGAGTTGGTGCCGAGGGACGAGAGGAGCGACGGAGAGATGAAAGGGAATGGGAGGGAACGCAAGGGAAGACACAGGGAGGGGGGGACACAGGGAGGGGGGGACACAGGGAGGGGGGGACACAGGGAGGGGGGGACACAGGGAGGGGGGGACACAGGGAGGGGGGGACACAGGGGAGACGCTACCGAGAGCTGTTGATACAGAGCTTTAGCCACGCATCAGACACAGACAGCGATGGAAGGGAGCAGGTGATGCAGTAGGGGATATGGCCGTTCAGCAGTGACACAACCCGATGGTGGGAGTAATAGCGAAAGCCAGGGGGACAAGCTGAGAGAAATGAGGAGAGGAGGTTGTGGAGAGCAGGTTGTGGAGAGCAGCAAAATGAGGGAGTTGTCAGAGGGGCGATATGAGCAGCAGCGGTGTGCGGGAGGGGCGGCACCTCGGCATCGATGAAGGCGAGCAGGTCGGCATCAGTGATGTACTTGCGTGCTATGTCGCCCGCGTTCTGTGGTAGGTAGTACGCTGGAGGGGTGGGGGGGAGATGGGGGCAGCAGAGGTGGTTGGCGAGTAGTGGGGTGTGCTTTCAAAAAGCCATGGTGGAAGGGAAGGGATTGATGGGTGGAGTGGTGCGGCGAGGCACAGCCATGCAGTGCAGAGCAGCAGCAGCGTGGTGGAGAGTGGCAGTGCAGCGCTGCCATGCTGTGTGGGGCGCCAGTGGGAGCAGGTGGAGCGAGGCGGGGGAAGGAGGCAAAGCAGCACGGAGTGGCGCGGTGCAAGGAGGGACGCACCGAGGGTGAGGCACGCGAGCGGGTTGCGGAAGAACTGGCCGAGCAGGTAGAGCGGCTCCTCCAGCGACTGCAGCTCCAACGCGTTCAGCGCGTTGAACACCTGCGGTGGGGAGGGGATGGTGGGGGTCGGGGTGGTGGGGTGAAGGAGGGGGAGGGAGGGAAGGGGATGAGATGAGAGAGGGGTGGGAGGAAACCACATACGCTTGGAGACTCTGTAGGCGTTATGATATGAGAGGACAGTGCATGGAATGGCACGGTGCATGGAATGGCACGGTGCATGGAATGGCACGGTGCATGTGATGGCACGGTGCATGGAATGGCACGGTGCATGTGATGGCACGGTGCATGTGATGGCACGGTGCATGTGATGGCACGGTGCATGTGATGGCACGGTGCATGTGATGGCACGGTGCATGTGATGGCACGGTGCATGTGATGGCACGGTGCATGTGATGGCACGGTGCATGTGATGGCACGGTGCATGTGATGGCACGGTGCATGTGATGGCACGGTGCATGTGATGGCACGGTGCATGTGATGGCACGGTGCATGTGATGGCACGGTGCATGTGATGGCACGGTGCATGTGATGGCACGGTGCATGTGATGGCACGGTGCATGTGATGGCACGGTGCATGTGATGGCACGGTGCATGTGATGGCACGGTGCATGTGATGGCACGGTGCATGTGATGGCACGGTGCATGTGATGGCACGGTGCATGTGATGGCACGGTGCATGTGATGGCACGGTGCATGTGATGGCACGGTGCATGTGATGGCACGGTGCATGTGATGGCACGGTGCATGTGATGGCACGGTGCATGTGATGGCACGGTGCATGTGATGGCACGGTGCATGTGATGGCACGGTGCATGTGATGGCACGGTGCATGTGATGGCACGGTGCATGTGATGGCACGGTGCATGTGATGGCACGGTGCATGTGATGGCACGGTGCATGTGATGGCATGTGGGAGGTGATCGCACGGTGCATGTGATGGCACGGTGCATGTGATGGCACGGCACGGTGCATGTGATGGCACGGTGCATGTGATGGCACGGTGCATGTGATGGCACGGTGCATGTGATGGCACGGTGCATGTGATGGCACGGTGCATGTGATGGCACGGTGCATGTGATGGCACGGTGCATGTGATGGCACGGTGCATGTGATGGCACGGTGCATGTGATGGTGTGGTCCAGATGGAGTGCCTTTCTCTGCCGTGTTGGGCACTGCCATGCCACGACATGGCAGCACATGACAGCACATGGCAGCACATGGCAGCACATGGCAGCACATGGCAGCACATGGCAGCACATGGCAGCACATGGCAGCACATGGCAGCACATGGCAGCACATGGCAGCACATGGCAGCACATGGCAGCACATGGCAGCACATGGCAGCACATGGCAGCACATGGCAGCACATGGCAGCTTGTGGCATGTCATGCTGAAGCTGGGTGGATCACATAGGACGAGAGGCATCAAAAGGAATTCAAATGTGACATGGACCAATGGGCGACGAATGAGACGAATGCAATGCACGTGCCTGTGAGTGCAATGCACGTGTGTGTGTGTGTGTGTGTGTGTGTGTGTGTGTGTGTGTGTGTGTGTGTGTGTGTGTGTGTGTGTGCAATGCACGTGCCTGTGTGTGCAATGCACGTGTGCACTCGTGTGTGTGTGTGTGCGTGCAATGCACGTGCCTGTGTCTGCAATGCAAGTTCCTGTGCATGCAGTGTACGTTCCTATATGTGCCAGTCCAGCACTCACAATCCAGCACTCACAGTCCAGCACTCATCGTAGAACTGGCGAATGCCGGCCCTCTCATGGGGGAAGCGCGCCATGAGCTCCCCCAGAAACTGCTCGTAGCCACGGTGCACCTGAGGGGGTGCCGCGCGAGGAAGAGAAGAGACAGGTGCGATGCATGTGCGGAGAGGAGGGTGCGAGGAAGCTGCAAACAGCTCCAGACTCCGTAAGCGAGATGGCATGCCATTGCAGAGGAGGATGGGCATGGATGCTGGCAGGGGAACAGCAGCAGTCAGACACGGCCTGTAGAGCACGGAGCCTGTCACATGCATATGGGGAGCAGCACATGTTGACCGGCCACCCACCTGCACGCTGAGCCCACCTGCACGCTGAGCCCGTTGGGCATGTGGTAGTGCACGGCCACGGGGTCCTCCAGCAGCGGCAGCTTGCGCCCCACCGCTGCCAGCGCACGCGTCACCAGATTCACGTTGCCCTGCGCTCGTCCAGTGGAGAGCAGGAGGGCGAGAGGAAGGGGTGGAGGGGAGCGGGGAGGAGGAGGTTGCCGAGGGGGGTGTGTGGATGGCGGATTGGAGACACACGCAGATGCGTGCAGAGCTGGAGAGTTGGCAGCATGGCATGGGCGAGCAAGCAACGTGGGGAAGGGTAGGCCGTCTGAATCAACCCATTCTCTGCAGTCTGTGAGCCTCGCCAACCCAGGTCACGCCATTTCACCGACCCTGCCTTGTGCTAAAAAAAGACTCGCCACGTTCCCCACAACCTTCACCACATTTCGCCTCCGTTCCCTCCCATTCTCTCCCTCCACAACTTCTCTCTCCTCCCTCTCTCCCTCAAGCTTCACTCCTTTCCGTTTCCCGCCCGCCCCTGAATTTCCCTCCGCCCCTCCGCACCCCACCGCTCCCCCCCCCTCTCCCCCCGCGCACCTGATCGCCGAAGCCGAACATGACGGACGACCCCACGTCGAACGTGTACCCGTCGCGCTCGTACCACCCGGAGCTGCCGCCCGGGATGAGGTACTTCTCCAGCAGCAGCACGCGCATGCCGCGCACCGCCATCTGCGTCGCCGCCACCAGCCCGCCCATCCCCGCGCCGATCACTACCGCGTCGTACTCGCGCTCCCCCGCGCCCTCCGCGGGCCCGCTATCGCCCGCTCTGCTCTCCACGGCATTGGCGGAGGACCGCGTGGCAGTTGCGCGGGGACACGCAGTCCTGCGGACGACGGTGCGATCGCAGGGGTGCGATGACGTGCGACACACACGCGTTAATTGGCTCCCGCCCAGTCGCACGAAGGCGCCTGGAGGTGGCTTGGCGGAGCGGGTGGCGGGAACGAGGGATGCGCGCAGGCATGGCGCGGAGGAGCGGTCCAGCGGCGCACGGAGGGTTAGTGGGGCGTGGGTCGACGTCATAGTGGCGGAAGGGCGAATGACGTGGCGTGACGTGGAAATTATCCAGAAGGGTGCTTTGCTGAGGCGGGGAATGGGCTTGCTTGGGCCAGGATCTGTTATTAGCTCATTATCTTCACACAGACTGGGAGCAAATTGTGTTTCCAAGTTAGTGTGATTATTTCTTATGTTCCAAACAAAAATTGAGCCTAGCGTGTGGCTACCAACTTCGTTAAAGCCTAGTGTCAGAATGGTATTATTTTCATACATTTTGAACTTGAAATAGTGTTCGCGAAACCTTGAAAACAGGAATTTCAAAAAATATGGGCGGGGCGTAAGCGAAATTAGGCGGCGATTTTTCCGCTAGTTACTGCCCAGTTGATTCTGACATGGTGTTCAGAGCAGGAAACCTGTAAGGTTTTTAGGGCCCACCGATCGTTCCGCTAGTTCCTGCCCGAAGCACCTTTGCGCTGCGGCCCTCTCGCATAGTGTCACGCTGCCCTGCAGCTACTCGCACTGCCTGCCCTAGCGCGCTGCCCTGCTGGCCCTAGCGCGCTGCCCTGCTGTCACGCGCGCCACTGCTGCCTGCGAGCAGCCCCTGCCCCGAGCGCCCCTGCTGCCCGCGAGCAGCCCCTGCCCTGCAGCCCAGCGCGTCGCGCCCTGCTGCCCTGCCCAGCGCGCGCCCCACTGTCCTGCGCGTCGCGCCCTGCAGCCTGCGAGTCGCACCCTACTGCCCCGCGCGTCGCACCCTACTGCAGCCTGCACGTCACGCCCTGCTGCCCCGCGTGTCGCGTCCTACTGCAGCCCGCGCGTCACGCCTTGCTGCCCCGCGCGTCGCGCCCTACTGCAGCCCTCGCGTCGCGCCCTGCTGCAGCCCGCGCATCGCGCCCTGCTGCCCTGCCCAGCGCGCGCCCTACTGCCCTGTCCACCGCGCGCCCTGCCCTGCAGCCCGCGGCGCGCCCTGCCCTGCAGCCCGCGGCGCGCCCTGCCTTGCCCAGCCGCACCGCCTAGGCCGAGCCGCGCCGCCCTGGCCGAGCCGCGCTGCCCAGCGCGAGCCGCCCTGCCCAACCCGAGCCGCGCCGCCCTGCCTCATTCACCAGCCCCACGAAGCCTCCCTGCTGCTACTACTGCTGCTGCTGCTGCTGCTGCTGCTGCTGCTGCTGCTGCTGCTGCTGCTGCTGCTGCTGCTGCTGCTGCTGCTGCTGCTGCTGCTGCTGCTCGTGCTACTGCTGCTGCTGCTGCTCGTGCTACTGCTGCTGCTGATGGAGGTGCTGCTGGGAGTGCTGGAGGTGCTGCTGGTGGTGCTAGAGGTGCTGCTGGGAGTGCTGGAGGTGCTGCTGGTGCTGGAGGTGCTGGACCTGCTATTGACTATCACTGCCGGTCATGGCCATTATGACGGTAGTTGCAGCGGCTAGGGGTGGATAGCAGTGGTCACTGCCGCTCCCGGACGACCCCACCCCTCAGCAACTTCGTGAGTGGGTTATTCAACGAGGCAGTCCTGGTGGTGGAGGTTTTGGTTTTATGGGTACTGCACAGCGGCGGCAGCAGCGTCCGCAGAGCACTTTCTCCATCCAGCGGCCTTGCGACTGTGCTTTTCAGCGATGCGTCCCTAGTTTTGTAGAGGCCGCTTCCAGGTGCTAGTAAGTCTGCTGTAGCTCTAGGTGCTCGTGAGTTTGCTGACGCTCTAGGTGCTAGTGTGTCTACTGCCACAGGTCCAGCCTGAGCTGAGGCCTTGCACACTTTCATACTTGACTCAGGCGCGCCACGTTGCTTCTTTCGTGATTGCACCATAGTCACACCACTCGCAGCACCTGTCCCAGTCTCTCTGGCTGACCCCACTGGGTGCCCAGTAGTTGCGCGAGCCTCCACTGTCCTCTCGTGTCCGGCAGTTCCCCCCGGGTCACTCTCAGGTCTCAACCTCCCCGAGTTTTTGACGAACTTGTTGAGCAACGCAATTCTCTAGGATGCATGGGTTGACACCTTCATTCATGGAGGACAGCATGTGGCGATCTGTAAGTGCTCACGGACAGGCCATCACCTTGCTATGTTCACTCGTCAGCCTGGGTCCGGTCTGTACACACTGACCACCGCGTCTGCACAGGTGGCTGAGTCCGGTCAAGTGGCTGCGTCGAGTCGAGTGTCTGCGTCTGGTCAACTTGCAGCGTCTTGCTCGTGTTGGGTACTCTCTCACCAAACTCTTCTCTGGCACCACCGCCTAGGTCAGCCCTTGCTGCCGCGTCTCCGCAGCATGCACTCCCGTCTCCTTGTCTCTGGCCTTCCCAAGTCCTTGCCTCCCTCCCGCGCTCGCCTGTACCGCCGTGCCTTTCCTACGTCGAGGGGCGGCAGTGTGCCGCTCCTCACTCCTCCGAGTTTCCTCCGACCACTACTCCTTTGCAGACTCTCCACATGGACGTGTGGGGCCCGTCCCCCGTCCGTGGAACAGACCAGAAGCGCTACTTCCTGCTGGTTGTTGACAACTGCACACGCTACACCATTGCCTTCCCCTTGCGGCGCAAGGCGGACGTCACCAGTGTTTTGATCCCCTTGATCCATGCTACTCGTCGCCAGCTGCCCGAGCGGTTTCGTCGGGACTTGCTAGTCGTGTGTCTGCACTCTGACATGGGTGGTGAGTTCTCTTCTGGCCTCCTTGAGGAGTTATGTCAAGACAAGGGCCTCCTCCAGACGTTCACGCTTCCAGCCTCTCCTCAGCAGAATAGGATTGCTGAGCGTCGCATTGGCTTGATCATGGAGGTTGCTCGTACCTCCATGATCCATGTGGCTGCTGTCACAGGATCGAATTCTCAATCGAAACTTGTCACCAAAACTGAATACAAGGCCTATTTATACTCGGAAAGTACAAGGATAAACGAGATAAAACGAACCTTCGGGAACACACCCTTCCCGATACTACAATCACAAGTGCGCATAAGCACGCAAGTCTATTGGCACTTGGGATTACGCCCAGATTACACCGTATACACCACTTCGGCGCTGTCGGTGCCGTATAATAGGTATGTCGGTGGGAAAAGTAGGAAATAAGAGAAATAAATAGAAGGCTCTAGAGAATAGAATAGTAGGCCGATTGAGATGAGATAAAGACCAAAATAAAGAGGAGAAAAGGGAGAATGGGATAATGGAAAAATATAATAGTGAGAAAATATTATAACGGGGACGTCCTCTCACACTTCCCCCCCTCAAAGCTGGGTGGTAGAAGTAACACCCTGCTTGACAAGGTAGTCCTGTAGAGGACGGCGGGCGTTATCCATGTCGTGTTCAGGTACCCAGGTATCCTCGGAAGGATCATAGCCTTTCCAACGAATCAAGAGCTCCAAGGTGCCGCTACGTCGTCGTCGGGTTGTGAATTCTCCAGGTAGCTGGTAAACGCAAGCGGAAGGTTACTGGAGTGACCTGCGCCTCGACGAGAAAAGGTCCGCAGAAGCGAGGTCGGAGCTTAGACGGAAGATGGCTAATGTCGAGATTGTGTGTATCCAGAAGCACTTGATCGCCAATCTGGATGGAATGATCGTTGCGACTCCGATCAGCGAGCTTCTTTTGTTGCTGCTGGATAGTCAGAAGACGTTTATGCGTGCGCTCCCACAATTGGTGCATAGTGGAAATGAAGTCATGTGCGGGTTGCACCGTGGCGGGTACTGTTGGTTTCTGAGGCGTGAGTGGGTTGCGACCGTAACAGAGGAAAAAAGGAGTTTGTGTCAGAACATATAGCTTACTTATTTGTGTAGGCTATAGTGGGGTATCCCATAGGGGGTACAACCCAATTAGGGTTTCATATTTGTACTCACTTCATTCATAGTTGATTCATTCTCGTTCAGTTTTCCACATGGTATAGAGCAGGTTCCCCTGTGGGAACTGTGCCTAGGGCCCACCACTCGAAATCTTTTTTTTTTTTCTGCCCGAAGCGCACTCATCCCGAGTCGCGCCTCGGGCCACTCCTTCCCCGAGCCGCCCTAGCGGCCGGCCTTACCCTCGCGGCCCTGCCACCCAGTGACCGCGGCCCCGCCGCCTCTTCTCTCGCGGCCCCGCCGCCCAAGCGCTCGCGGCCCCCGCCGTCCCTGATCTCGCGGCCCTGCCGCCCGAGCGCTCCCGGCCCCGCCGCCCCTGATACGCGGCCCCGCCGCCCAAGCACTCGCGGTCCCCGCCGTCCCTGATCTCGCGGCCCCGCCGCCCCAACGCTCCTGGCCCCGCCGCCCCTGATACGCGGCCCCGCCGCCCCAGCGCCCGCGGCCCCGCCGTCCCTGATCTCACGGCCCCGCCGCCCCAGCGCTCACGGCCCCGCCGCCCCTGATCTCGCGGCCCCGCCGCCCCTGCGCTCCCGGCCCCGCCGCCCCTGATACGCGGCCCCGCCGCCCCAGCGCCCGCGGCCCCGCCGTCTCTGATCTCACGGCCCCGCCGCCCCAGCGCTCACGGCCCCGCCGCCCCTGATCTCGCGGCCCCGCCGCCCCAGCGCTCCCGGCCCCGCCGCCCCTGATACGCGGCCCCGCCGCCCCAGCGCCCGCGGCCCCGCCGTCCCTGATCTCACGGCCCCGCCGCCCCAGCGCTCACGGCCCCGCCGCCCCTGATCTCACGGCCCCGCCGCCCGAGCGCTCCTGGCCCCGCCGCCCCTGTTACGCGGCCCCGCCGCCCCTGGTCTCGCGGCCCCGCCGCCCCAGCACTAACGGCCCCGCCGCCCCTTGTTCTCGCGCCGCCCGACTGCAGCAGCCGAGCCGCCCACCTGCAGCAGCCGAGCCGCCCGGAGCAGCCGAGCCGCCCAGGAGCCGCCGAGCCGCCCAGCAGCAGCCGAGCCGCCCAGCAGCAGCCGAGCCGCCCGGAGCCGCCGAGCCGCCCAGCAGCACCCGCGCCACCAGCAGCCGCCGAGCCGCCCAGCTGCAGCCGAGCCGCCCAGCAGCAACCGAGCCGCCCGGGAGCCGAGCCGCCCAGCAGCCTAGCGGCCGTTTCGCCAGGCGACCTTCCTCCCGAGCCGCCCGACCTGCCCTGCCCGGTGAGCACTGCACTGCTGTCACTGCGTA